TGAGGATGTTTTTGAAGTTCATCCATGTTGTAACATGTGTCATTACTTCCCTGCACACACAGTGTGTGTGTGTGTGTGTGTGTGTGTGTGTGTGTGTGTGTGTAGATACTGGAGATGTGGGGATGGCCTTGGGCATGCTGGGCAGGTGCTCTACCACTGAGCCACACCCACAGCCCCACTTTGTTCCTTATCATGGCTGAATACTATTCCATTACATGGATGGGTCACATTTTGTTATCCATCCATTCACTGGGGAACACCCTGGGAATTGTGAACATGTACAGTATTGGTGCATGGGTACAGTAAAACCTTGGATTGGGAGCAACTTGTTCTGCAAGAGAACCAAACATTTCTAGTAAAACTTTTTTTCTGTTTTTTTGAGAAAGCATCTCAGTATGTAGTTCAGGCAGGTCTTGAACTCACTTTGTAGCCCAGGCTGGCCCAGAACTCACAACAATCCTCCTATCTCAGCCTCTCAAGTACTGGGATTACAGGCATGTACCACCATGCCTGGCTTCACCTGGCTTCTAGTAAATTTTAATTTGATAAACAAGCAAGGTCTTGAAGTAGTAGTACATGACACTGAGTGTCACATGATCACAACAAAACCGAATGTTGTTTTCCCTCTCTCTCCCTCTCTTTCACCGAGGGATTGTGGGTGATCATTTCCCAAAAGCAAGAGGTTACGGAGGAGATCTCATCTGCAGAAGCAGAGGAGAAGAAGGTGGGGGAATCTCTCACTTCAAATGAGATTAGAGAGATGTGTAAAATGTGGGAAACTGCGAAACTGTGCAGAAAAGCGCCACCTGAATAAAGCTGAAGCAGTGCAAGTAACAAATCTGTTTAATGACAATGCAATGTCACATTTTTGTGAAATCCTCAAAAGGAAATGTCATTGGATAGCTTCCCTGTTGTCTTGGTTACTTTTCTCTCGTTGCTGGGACACAATATCTGACGCCCAAAATTAAGGAAGGAAAGGTTTATTTCACTTACAGTTTGTGGAGGTTTAAGTCCATACTTGGCAGATTGCAAGGCAGACTGGCACATGGCAGAGGGCTGCAGCTCATGGCGGCAGAACACAGCAAAAGCAACAAGCACACACCAGGGTGGAAAGGCCTGAAGCACCCTTTTCCTCCCCCTTACATATGCAAACTATCCACCCCAGGGCGGATGTAGCTCTCACACCCATAATCAGTCAAACTCTAAAAGCCTGCCCCATGACCACATGAGGCTTTGGGGGGACACACAGACACAAACCACAGCACCTGTTAATGCTGCCCGGAAAGAAAAAGTCCACTGAGTCAATAGCAGCAATCCTGTTAGTGATGGTGAAAGTCATCTCATACAATAACCTCCTCTCTCTGGTCTGTCTCACACAAGCCATGAAGGCGTTCAAAGGTAGGTACAGGTTAATTTAGTTTTCTTTATGTTTTGTATTTTCTTTATTTTTGTACTATATTATAGTATTGTAATAATTTTATATGAATATTTCTGGTTTGTGGAACAAATCATCTGAGTGTTTGTTTTGTTTTGTTTTGAGGCAGGATCTCGCTGTGTAGTTCAGGCTGGCCTTGAACTCACTGTGTAGCCCAGGCGGTGTAGCCCAAACTCACAGCAATCCTCCTGTCTCAGCCTCCAGAGTACTAGGAGTACAGGAATGCACTACTACGCCTGAGTTTTATTTCTTATGGGGAAACTTGCTTTGAGATACAATTGCTGTGAGCTGAGCGTGGTGGTGCACACCTGTAATCCCAGCACTTGGGAGACTGAGGCAGGAGGATCCCTGTGAGTTCAAGACCAGCCTGGGCTACAAAATGAGCTCAAGGCCAGCCTGAACTGCACAGCTAGACCTTGTCTCAAAAAAGACAAAAAAAAGAGAGATACAAGTGCTGTGGATTACAAGCATATTTCCTGAATGAATTACACTTGCAAGGTGTAAGGTCTTACTTTGTTTGAACACATTGATTTTGGGAGTACATACCTAGCAGTAGAATGGCAGTGTCATCTTTAACTTTTTAAGGAACTAATAAACTCTTCTTCCTAGTGGCTACACCATTTTAAATCCCCACCAGTAGTGTATGAGGGCTCCCATTTCTCTACATTCTCCCCAATACTTATTTTCCATTTTTCTTTTTTAATTTTTTTTGTCTTTTTTTTTTCAGTGTCTTGCTATGCAGTTCAGACTGGCTTTGAGTTGACTTTGTAGCTCAGGCTGGTCTCGAACTCGAGACGATCCTCCTGCCTCAGCCTCCCAAGTGCTGGTATTACA